TGGATTCCTCCAAAACTGATTATTCGTTGGAAATTTCTACACCCACATTTTTTGATCCCTTTAAATATTCTCCACCGCTTTCAAACCAATGTGATCAAATTTATATAGATAACTATATGAAAACATTTTCATTTTCGAATGGAGATGAATTTAATGAATCATTTGGAGGTTTAGGCCGATCTTTAGATTTTGCTCAAAATTTTCAACCTTTACAATGTTCGTACGATTATAATCTAAACGAAAGCTTAAATGTTCCTATAGTCACAGATAATATTTTTTTTGACCTAGAACAATGTTTCAATCTTATAGAAAACAATGAACCTATTTATTATGAAACCTAAAAAAAATATTTATTTATTTATATTTTGTAATATAGATCGTTCGTTTCTTTTCTTTTTCCTATTTTTTATGCCATTTTCATATTTTGTAAATTTTTCAGCGGAATATTTATTCAGTACCAAAACTATATAAATACATATCAGTTATTAAACTTTCTATAATCAAAAATGTTAGAACTTCTGTTATATTTTTTTTTTGTAATTGCTTGCGAATTATTTCGAAATTGACATTTCCTCATTTTTTTTTATTCTCTATGAATGAAAACCTTTAAGTTTACGATAAACGTCCTATCATTATGATTAAAAATTCTTTTCGTCCATCTCTCTTCGGAACTATATAGTTCTTTACCTACTTTTTCTATGATTACTATAAAAGTATTCCTTGTGTTTATCGAAAACGATGCGATTGCTGATCATAATATGTTCTAATTTTTAAACACTGCATATATCAAGATCCAAATTGGGCGACACTGCCAAATGCAAATGTGTTGATTTTTTACCAGTTTTTATGAGATGCGTTTGTGTGACTGTTGTATTTTTGGAAATTTCTTTTAGAAATTATTAATAATTCAATTTCTTACCCATAACTATTCACAAATCTCATATTTGAAAAATGAGTTTTTTGATAAAATGTTTTATCATTACAGTGCAATAAATATCTTTTTTTTTAAAATTAATGACAAATGTGTATTATTTTTTATTGATATCTCGAAATATGAAGCCTTTCTTGATTTCTTGATTGGGTTATTACAGATTAAAATTTATTAGTGAAACAAGATTTTAAAGATCAGAATTCTTGAAATTGATTTAGCCGTAGTCAATTATCTGATATTCGTCATTGTAAATGAAAAGATTAACAGGACTAATCCTGCAAAAAAGACTAACCTCAGTAACATGTCTGTACTTGTAACACCATACCACCTATGACTCATCATGACTTGTGTGCCATTTTTTATTATGATTGTTAAAATGTTTATTTGGTATACAATATACCGAAATATAAATTAAAAATTCAATATAAATATATTTTTTAATATTAAAAATTTGAGGTGTCTTAATATAATAAACCAAAAATGACACGGAATTGTTTACTATTACACTGTAAATCGATACTTAATTAAAATTCTAATCTCTCTATCATTGATATAATAAACGCATTTTTTTACTTAAATATTTAGCATCTTACGTGCGCATATATTTTTTTAAATTTCAGTTTCACAAAGCCAATTTTAGTTATTTGTCAAGACTTGATTTTTTTTTCAATTCATTTGATAAGTAATAATATAACTACATTTTTAGAATAAATATTGATCAAAATCAAATACTTATAAAACTACATAATTAGTTACCATCTAACTTGCCACTGTGGAAGGCCTGAACCTTTCCAATTAGCAAGTTTCAACTTCATCGTCCTCACTAATGTCTAAATTAAAAGAAAAAATAAAAATATAACGCCGTAAAAGCAGAATTTAAACTATTATTAATATTGTTATTAATAATATCTTTACTTAACTATTTTACTTTTTTTGATTATTTTATATTCATTAATTATAATGGAAGATGATTTTGGTGATCTTTTTCGAGTGGTCGCAATACCTCTCTCCTCCAATTAATAACATTTTCACAACGATTTAACAAAATTTTATTTTCTTCTTTAAGAAATGTAAATGTCTTGATTATTATTTTCCGGGTAGTTTTATCATCTCTAGTAAGTTTATTTATTTTAGTCCACATGTATTTCAGATAAAGTCTATGGATTAGATCAATAAACATGAATTTGTCAGTTGATAACAGAAGTTGAAGAAGTCTTATGGGCATATTTGATATAATCGTGACACAAGTATGCTCTTTTTTTAATTCTTTAAGCTGATTTGATGTTAGATACGAATTAGCAGTTGTAAGGAGGATATCTAAAAGAGTTTGCGTAATTCCATAAATAAATTTCCACGTGCAAAGACATGTAACGATGTTTCTGCTTGTTTTCCACAACTGATACAAGTGGTTGTATCATGGATTTCAGGGTGTTTTGTATGTAATATATATTTTTTGTGGGGAGTTCATCTTTGAAGATTTTTTATTCTGAGCATTTAATGAAGAGTAGTTTCGGTATTGGGTAACCGGAGAGACATCCATTTAATTTCGTTAATTTCTTTAGGAAAATTTTGAATTGGGATATCAACTAGAGTATTGTTCCGGTTGAATTATTATTGATAACTTGATCATTTGAAATTTGATTGAAGATCTTTGTTTTTGATCATGATTGATAATACAAAAATAGATTATAGCATTTACAAGATAATTCTTTAATTAAGAAGTGGCTATCATCTGGCTGCGTTTGTAAGGCATTGGAATTCTCGACTGTCATGATGACCATGGTTTCTTATTCAAGTGACCATTGTTTTTAGGGTAAAAGAATATGGTTGTTGGTTCTGTGGAAATTATGGCCGTTTTTATGAAAAATCTATACGATCATCAGAATCCTTCTCAATCATCAATTACGAAGTATTTAAGGTTGTTAGTAAAATTATTAAAAAGTTACAGTATGTGCTTTTGGAAATAATAAAATATATTTTATTTTTTATTATCTATCATTTAAACTCAGCTTATATCGGTCTCATAAAAAATGGAAACTATAGTTTTAGAATATCTATTAGAATCGTACAATAAATAATAAATATCAATTTTTTTAAAAAAGAAATATTATTAAGCAATCACATGATTTTAATTAAATACAAAAAAAAAATTTAAATACTATTAAAGCTACCTGATTATCCAGACAATTTAAGAGAGAAAGAAATTTCCAATTATAAAACGAAACCATAAAATTAAAATTAGAATTCGTTCTTAAGAAAATAAAAAAAAGAAAGATTACTAATATGAGATTTAGGATAAGCTATAGATGGAGAAAGAAATACCAATTATATAGATGATCACTTCAACAAAAATTTAGGAATAGCCAGGAAAAATTCTTGACTTACTATTTATACTAATAATATACATTATTTTTAATATATTTCGAATGAACTCGGTAAACGGTAAAAATAAATTGATTAATTAGGTGAATTAATATATTTATATTCTATTATACAATACAATCGATATACAAATATCGGAAGGAAATTTTTTGTCGCTTTTCAATTAATCCTTGTTATCTTTTTTTTTTTTTTTACATTTAATAATTTCTGAATAAAGTATTGCTTTCAACGACCAAGCTATCTTTCTTTTCTAAATTACTAATTTAAGATCATTTACATGAAAGAAAAATTGGGAATGACATTAAAATTTTTCTTCTTTTTGGATTTCGACTCTAATTTAGTAATAATACTTATTATCATTATTGTTACTTTATTTTTATTTCTTTTATTTTTATTTTATCAACGATTTTACCTTCTCTCTACAAACTATATAAACTTATTTATTATTTATTTAATTTGTACTTTCTGCGACATTCATATAATTGGTTGTATAGTAATTATTGAAATTTTTTTTGTTTTCCTTGGGGGTTAAACTTGAAACATTTCACACTATTATGTAAATTATTTATATATTTTATCGCCAAATTTATTTATTATGAACATTTTTTTATCATCACTATTTTCATTATTTGATTTTTATCAACGACAATCCAAGGTCACTTATTCAGCATCAGGAAATTTTATTAGGTACCACTTGCGAAAATTTGCACAAGTTTTTTGTGTCGTTATTTGACTTCCTCGCAACTTGCGAGACATAGAGCGGTTTTCTACTAAGATGTTTCTAAGAGAAATAGAACGGCCTTGTTCATAGCTACAAAATGATATGTGTTTCATTCCTGTAATATGCATATTTGCCGAGAACATGCGATTTAAAGAAAAACATTTGCGAGAAAAATCGGGCAAAAATTTTCGCAAATTTCCATTAATTTCGCACGATTTTTGTCATAAATGTTTCTCTTTAAACCGTATTATTTCCGCAAATATAGATTCTACCGAAATGAAACACATATCATTTTGTAGTTAAGAACAAGACTACTCAATCTATCTCAGAAACATTTTAGTAGAAAAGCGTTCTGTACTCATAAATCGCGAGCGAAGTCGAAAAAATATGGTCTGTAATTGAGTTTCTGATGTTGATGAAGACGATGATGATGACTTAAATAATATAGAAAATATGAATTTTACGGATTTCTTATTTCTTTATATTGTAGATTAGATAAATGCGACTTAATTGAAAAAATCTTTTGAAGAATGTCGAGAAGAGAGAATATGAAAAAGAAGAAAGATGATTATGATAAGATGAATTTTGCTGTTTTTAATAAAATTTATTAAATTTAAATGGAATGGTGGAAGTTTTCAACATAAGAGTATTGAAGAGATGGTGACTGTTGTTCTGAAAACATAGAAAAATAGATCAATTCGGGATTTAATTGAAATTATATACGTATTTAGAAACTTCGATAGGTAATGAAAAAAGAGAATTATCGTTGATGTTAGCATTCCATAGTAAAGAAAACGAGATAAAAAGATTATTGAACAACTACAATTATTATAATTGTTATAGTTTTCTTTGATTTTTTATAGTTTTTATAAGCGAAAGAATAATAACAAAATTACAGCAACAAAAATGAAAGATTGAAGAATGCAATCTTTATTTTTAGAATAAATAAAAATAAACTAAGGAATTAAAAAATCTAAGAAATTCTCATGTTAGCGAAGGAAAATAAAAAAAAAATAGAGATGAGGTGGCTATTGAAGGAAAAGTCAAATTAAAATGAAAATCTCCTTAATTCATAAAAATTACTAATTTTAGTAGGGTTAATTCGATAATCTTTGTACAATAATTTAAAATTGCTGAAAATATATCGGATGGAATTGTGGATAAAAATCCGGACTAATATTTTTTTAATTTGTAATGGACGTTTGACAATTTTTGTAATAAATTTTTTGAGGACACCTATAAATCGATAACTCAAATGAAAACTACTTAATTGGATATATAATGAAGCAAAAATTAAACAATTCGGATTGGATAATTCACAACAATATTCAATATAAAGTTCTTTGAGTCAAACAAACTATCCAATTGGTGATGACTTAAATAATAAAAATTTACTAACTTTAACGAAGACTCTTTAATGTTTCTTGTTGACTGATGATAGCCCATAATAATGAATTGGTTTCTCTATAATCAATACCACGAATTGATAATACCACGAATTGATAGATTTTTAAACGTTCTTGGACATGATAAATTTTGTTAATAATCGAACTTGAGAATCTGAAGTAAATCTCAAATCCATATTTAAAATATCATCACAAATTAATGCTATTGATTCTTATAATGGACAATCAGTTCATGATTTTTTATCATCCAAATAAAACTTTCTAATTTCTTAAATACTTTCGGAACACTAGGTAACTTAAGAATTTAACCAATTAAGTCACTATAATCTAGATCGTTTTTAGGAAAATATTCGTGAACTCCCGCCAATTTAAAATAATCCAGAAATGAACAACGATTTATTATTAATTTTCATGTTTCACAAAATAATATTCTCGATGCGGTGAGCTCATCATTATTATTATTATAGTTATTATCTTGATCTGAACCAATAATTTTTTGGAAATAAAATAAGCTAAATTATCTATTTATGGATAATCAAAAGTAGCTTGAGGTATGATATGATAATTTAAATACATTTTGGAGCAAATAAAGTTCTTGTTTGTGTACCCATACATGATATATAAGTTAGAATAATGCTTTCTTCCTCAACTTATTATAATCAATCCAATGAGATTCCTGATCCCAAAGCTAATTCCCAAAGCATTGACATAGTAACTTTACACCAGATTCGATTACTAATAAGGATGAATATAAATCTTGAGTTGAACGAGATGATTGGATATTATTTAAAATTTTAACTAATATTTTTATGGGAATTTTCGTTGCTATTTTTTTTGACCAAGAAATAATGAGAAAATATTTAATGAATATCAAATTGAATTCCACATACTCTTTAAAATGTTCATTCATTATTTGCTACAAATTTTAATTGTGATAATAAATCTTCCGGTGTTATGAACGTTTTATACGTAATCTCCTTCTCCTAAGTCACCTATTTTTACCCTTATCAGCAGCACCTAAATATCTATGAATGATCAAGTGATTTTGAAGCATCTGACATAATCATTCTATTTTTATTTGGGACCGTGGGATAAAGATATGTACATAAAAATAAAATATTTGTTCATTATATTTACAAAAATGGAAAATAAAAACATGTCGTTATAAAATATGTGCATACTTTATTATTATTATTTAACTAGCGATCAAAGCTTTATTTCGAATACATTTGTAACGCATAAACATAAACAAATAAGTATGTAGTTTAGTTTTCAAAGGGAAATATTACTAATCATTCGGTAAATTTAGCTTGTAAAACCCAAATTCGGCTGATTTTTTATATTTCAACTTGAAATATAATAAAGTAATTCATTTTATATATATCTATATTCAACTACGCATATACATCGAAATATTAATTTATATTATAATAAAAATATCAAGTATGTTTGAATGATAGTTATATTTTTCTGCTAAAAATAAAATTTTATTATCTAAGTCTATATATAGAAATATAAATTTAAAATCTAATACAAAAACTATTAATTATATTAATTATATTTGAAATAGAAATGGAGTAAAAATAGGAATAAAAAATGGAAGGAAAATTCTTTTACCCTAAGAACAATGGCCACTTAAATAAGGAAACATGGTTCTTGACAGTCTAGAATTTCAATTTTTTTTTTTTTACAAGCGCAACCTGATGATAGCCACTTCTTACATAATTAAAGAATTGTCTTGTAAATGCTATAATCTATCAATCATGATCAAGTTATCAATAATATTTCAACCGGAACAATACTCTAGTTGATATCCCAATTCAAAATTTTGCTAAAGAAATTAACACAAACTCATGAGAGACATGCCAGCAACCTACCGCCTGACAAATAAATTTCCCTCAGCATGTTAAGGCCTTGGATGTCTCTCTGACACCGAAACTACTCTTCGTTAAATGTCTAGAATAAAAATCTTCAATGATGAACTCCCCACAACTAATATATATATTACATGTAAGACACCCCGAAATCCATGATATACCCACTTGTATCAGTTGTGGAAAACAAGCAGAAGTATCTTTACATGTTTGCATGTGAAAATTTATTAATGGGATTGCGCAAACTCTTAAAGATACCCTTCTTATAACTGCTAATTCATGTCTAACATCAAATCAACTTAAAGAATTAAAAAAGAGCAAACTTGTGCCACGATTATATCAAATATGCCCATAAGACTACTTCAACTTCTGGTATCAACTGACAAATTCACGTTTATTGAAAATACATGGATTAAAATAAATAACTTACTAGAGATACTAAAACTACCCAGAAAATAATAATAAAATCAATTACAATTTTTAAAGAAGAACAACGTAGAATTTGGTTAAATCGTTGTGAAAATTTTATTAATCGGGAGAAGGAGAGAGATATTTCTACCTCGCGAAAAAAAGATCATCAAAACCATATTCCAATATGATTAATGAAGAATACAAAATAATCAAAAAAAGATAACTAGTTTAGGTAACAATATTATTAATAAAACTAATAATGATAGTTTAAATTCTTCCTTTACGGCGTTAGATTTTATTTTTTTTTATTTTTTTTAATTTAGACATTAGTGAGGCCGGTGAGGCTGAAACTTGCTAATTGGAAAGGTTTAGGCCTTCCAAAGATGGTAAACTAATCATACTAATTATGTAGTTTAGTTTAATAAGTATTTGATTTTAGTCACTCTTTATTCTAAAATGTAATAATTTTCGAATGAATTAATAAAGAGTAGACTTTGTTGGTCGCATGAAAAAAAATAATCAATAATATCTTAACTCTTGACAAATGACTAAAATTGGCTTTGTGAAATTCAAAAAATTATATTATTGTATCAATTATAGAAAGATTAGAAACAAAAGCATCCCAACCACTACCTTTCTCAAGATAACAATTAAACTTTTTATTAATAAAAATATTCGCAAATACTTAATATTTGGATAATTATTCCTACATTAAGATACCAAAAATTTTTAATATCAAAAAATATATTTATATTAAATTTTTAATTTATATTTTGGTATATTGTATACCAAATAAATAAACATTTTAACAATCGTAATATACTGTAAAATAATAAAAATGGCACACAACGAAGACGCAGTCAAGAGATGAGTCATTGGTGGTATGGTGTTACAAGTACAGACATGTTACTGAGGTTAGTCTTTTTTGCAGGATAATCTCCTTTTCATTTTTTATTTAACAATGACGAAAATATTTGAATATCAGATTATTGACTACGGCTAAATCAATATCAAGAATTCTGATCTTTAAAATCTTGTTTCACTAATAACTTTTAATCTCAAAAACTCAATCAAGAAAATCAAGAAAGATTTCATATTTCGAGATATCAATAAAAAATTATACACATTTTCCATTGATTTTAAAAAAAAAGTTCTTCATGATAAAACATTTTATTAATAATTCAATTTACTTACTCTCAAATTTCATATATGAAAATGAGTCCTTTTATAATTTTCTAAAAGAAATTTCCAAAAATACAACAGTCACACGAACACAACATCTCATAAACTGGTAACAAAAATTATAAAAATCAAATCAACATGCATTGGGATTTCGCATTTGGAATTTGTCACACGTACACAAGGAATACTTTTATAGTAGGTAAAGGACTAAATAGTTCTGATAAAAAGAATTTTTAATCATAGTGATAGGACGTTTATCGTAAACTTAAAGGTTTTCATTCATAGAGAATAAAAAAAAAGTGTGGAAATGTCAATTTCGAAATAATTTGCAAGCAATTACAAAAAAAAATATAACAGAAGTTCCAACATTTTTGATTATAGACAGTTTAATAAACTAATATGTATTTATATAGTTTTGGTAATGAATAATTATTCCGCTAAAAAATTTACAAAATATGAAAAAGGCATAAAAAGTAGGAAAAAGAAAAGAAACGAACGATCTATATTACAAAATATAAATAAATAAAAATATTTTTTGGGTGTCATAATAAAATGGTTCATTGTTTTCTATAAGATTGAAAAATTGTTCTGGGTCAAAAAAAATATTATCTGTGCCTATAGGCACATTTAAACTTTCGTTTAGATTATGTTCGTACGCACATCGTAAAGGTAGACAATTTTGGGCAAAATCTAAAGATAGGCCAAATCTTTCTAATGATTCATTAAATTCTTCTCCATTCGAAAATGAAAAAGTTTTCATATAGTTATCTATATAAATTTGATCACATTGGTTTGAAAGCGGTGGAGAATATTTATAGGGATCAAAAAATGTGGGTGTAGAAATTTCCAACGAATAACCAGTTTTAGAGGAATCCG